GGGATGCTTCCAAACTGCTCTGAACAAAGGTGTTGGCAGGACGGTCCCATGTTGTGTGTCAGGGGCAGCACAGGAATTTTGGTGCTGGGTGAGGCTGGAGGGCTTTGTGCACCTCGCATAGGAGATTTGGGGCTCAGCAGGGCTTTTGCTTGTGATTTTGAGTAACTAGACTAGTTTGGTGCTTGATGAACATCTTAAAACTCATGACAGTGCCATGCCCAAAGTGACTCCCTGGAGGAAACATTCACAGCCGTGGTATGTGCTGCTGGAGAGCTTCTGGGTCAGCTTGGGGCTGCTCCGGAGGATCTGCCGGCCTAGCCTGACCTGCACAGAGGGCTGCTGGGGTGGGCTGTGGCAAGGGGAAAGAGAAGTTTTCTTGCAGCTGGAAAGGCTGCTGGGTGAGCGGGTCGGGGGGGGCGCAGCCCTTCGGGGCAATGGGCCTCAGCACTGCTGGAGGGCAGGGACCCCCACACTGCAGGGCTAGGTGCTTGACACCCTGCCCAAGCTCCCTCCCAGCCCCAGCTCTATCTTTCCCTTAAGTATCTCTCTTGCCCCGAGGGTGGGTCATGGATGCTGAGTGACCCTCTGTGGGATTTTTGAATTTTCAACGGCTGCCTGGCAGGGCTGGGCTAGGTGTCCCTGGGCACAGCATCCCCATGGCCACCCCTCCGCAGCTTGGGTCCACCTGGGTTGTGTGCCCATCCTCTGCTCCCTGGCATAGGCTGCAGGCTTCTGGTCCTTGCTTTTTCTGCACAAGCAGGAGGACAAGAAACTCCTTAAAGAAACAAAAGCCACTGGAAGGCAGGAGCCTCCAGTTTTCGCACCATTTCAGGAGCTGGGGCTTTAAGAAATAGCCTGAGTATTGCAAGATTTGGCAGCCCTGCGGCATCTCCACCCAAGAGGGAGAAATCCAAGAAGCAGAAATGGCTGGGAGAGACCAGGGGAGGATTAGCTTGACAGACAGGGCATTAGACAGAAGATGGGCACAACTGAGCTCTGCCAGGATGGGTCTCCCTGCTCAGAAGCTGAAAGCTGTTGGCATCAGAGCTGCAGCTTCACCTTTAGCCCTTACCACGCACTGGGGCAGTGAGAGACCCTGCAGGGGGAAAGGTATAAACACAAGCTGGGGCTGGGGGAAGATTCACACTATTAAATCCATCAGCTGCTGGAAGCAGCTCTATAAATGTCAGCAGGCAAAGGCATGATTGAAGGTGACTCCAGGATGTTTCCAGGAATAACTGACCACAGAAATGCTGGGGGAGGGAGCAAGACCCCCAGGAACAGGGAGATGAGAAGTCAGCACAGCACAGAGATGCTGTCCTGTGAGCAACTGGCCTGAGCGCTCCCCTGGCAAGGGCATGGGCATGGCCTTTCTAGTCTGCCGGCTCTTTGCCAGCTTACCCAGCAGCAGCTGGGTGTTGCCCAGTGCAGGCAGCAGCAGGCAGCAGCAGCCCCACGGAGGATTTGTGAGGGGTCTGGAGCTGCAGGGACGGCAGAACCACCCAGGGGATTCCCAGATATCCCTTGGGTCAGGCCACAAAAGACTGGAAAAATCCCCTGTCCTGCTGCTGTCTCTAGCCCCTGAGCTGAACATCTGCCTCAGACCAAGGGCTGGCCATGGCAGCACGCAGCTGCTCCCCAGCTCTGCCACAGTGAGGGTGTTCCCTCACCAGCCAGCCCAGTTCCTCTGGCACTTTGGTGTGAGATGCCCAGAGGTAACGGAGTTAATGGCTGGTTCAGCTAGACGCTGCCTTTCCAGGGTCTGATAACACCTCGGTGAAGACACACTGCTCTGGGTCAGTCCTATGGCCTCCTAGGTATTTGGCTGCGTTTCGAGTGAGATCCCTCCTACAGCCTCTTCTGAGTAAAGAGACTATTTTTGGCTTTCCAGCAAGGAAGACACACTCAGCCCAGCAGAGTTTGGGAGACAACCCCATTTCATTTTGCCTCCCTGTAGGATCCCCGGCCACATCCAGCACAGGCAGGGGTTTGCTGCCTTGCCTTCCCATGTCCGACTGCCCCTCCAGCCCTGTCCTGCCGATGGTGCTGGGGGTGGTCCCAGGTGGGGTGAGTCCCGCACCCCCCAGGCAGGCAGAGCTGGGCAGCACTGCCAGCCTTGCCCTGCTCCAGGTGGTAGATCCGGGGCTGAAATAGCCCAAGCTATTTCAGGCAGACCAAGTTTGCCGTGCCAGGAGCAGCTCAGGAGCCCCTGGCCACCTTTCTGGGGTAACTGGAGATGCCGGCACTCCCACAGGTTAAGGGCAGAGCTGGGGGGCGGGGGTGTCATATCCCCCGGAGCAAGAAGGGGACACTTCTCCAGCATATCTGCCTCATACTTTCAGCTGGGGGCTGGTGGCCTCCCGAGCTGCTCCTGCCTCTGGGATCTCACAAAGGGCGCTGGTTCCCAGCCCTCACGGGCCTTTGCCAGACCAGTTTGGGGGCAGGCAGAGGGGCAAGGGCCTTGTGCTGCCAAACCCCATCCCTGCCCTTCCTCTGCCAGTGCCCTGGGCTGCCGTGAGTTTTCCTGCACCCCAGCCCCTCTGCA